CCTATCCCTCGTGTGCCTTGCTCCACGACTATATATATATATATATTTATACTACATTATTAAGCAACAGTTAAAAGGTAGACACGTGTCAAAAGAATATCTTATATATAGAAAGAATGTCGGTACATGCTCTCATAGTAGGCCCCTAAAAATAATGGGTCCCTAAATTTTAATGTATAGAGAAGAGAGAGAGCGGGGTGTGCGTCTCTTGAACCTTAGGTGAGAGAGAGAAAAGGGGTTACGTGGGGAGAGGGAGTCTATTTTAAAATCTTGTCTATTTAGAAAAAAAAAAAGAGAAATTATCACAAATATATTTTAATTTTTGTCTACTTAGAAAAAAAACTCCCAACTTTTCATAAATCTTGCCCACATCTTTTTTTTTAATTTTGGACATTTTTTTACCAAAATAACCTTGACGGTATTCATATTACCGTGAAGCCAATTACAATACTTTAATTATCGTAAATACTAATCCATGTTATACGGTATTTTAAGTACCGTAAAAATTAACTCATGTTATACGACATTTTAATTACCATGTTATATGGCATTTTAAGTACCGTAAAAACTAACTCATGATATACAATATTTTAATTACTGTAAAAACTAACCCATGTTATACGGCACTCAAAATGCTGTAAACCTTTTTCTCCTGTTCATATTTATCTCTCTATAAATTTTTTTTATGTTTATCTTTCTCTTCTCTCTCTCATTTTTTTATCTCTTCTTTCTCTCTCTAAATATTTTCTCTCAATGGCATTTCAAGTACCGTAAAATCTAACTCATGTTATACAACGTTTTAATTACTGTAAAAACTAACCCATGTTATACAACATTTTAATTATCGTAAAAACTAGCCCATGTTATACGGTACTCAAACTGCCATAAACCCTTTTCTCCTGTTCATATTTATCTCTCTCTAAATTTTTTTTATGTTTATCTCTTCTTTCTCTCTCTAATTTTTTATGTTTATCTCTTCTTTTTCTCTCTAATTTTTTTATGTTTATCTTTTCTTTCACTCTCTCTAATTTTTTTTCTCTTCTCTCTCTCTCATTTTTTTTATCTCTTCTTTCTCTCTCTAAATATTTTCTCTCACTAACTCTCTTTCTCTCACTACTTACTTCATCAACTTATTTTTTTTATCTCTTCTTTCTCTCTCTAAATATTTTTTATGTTTATCCCTTCTTTTTCTCTCTAATTTTTTTATGTTTATCTCTTCTTTTTCTCTCTAATTTTTTATGTTTATCTTTTCTTTCAGTCTCTCTAATTTTTTCTCTTCTCTCTCTCATTTTTTTATCTCTTCTTTCTCTCTCTAAATATTTTCTCTCACTAACTCTCTTTCTCTCTCTATTTTCTTCATCAACTCTTTTTTTTATCTCTTCTTTCCCTCTCTAAATGTTTTCTCTCACTAACTCTCTTTCTCTCTCTACTTACTTCATCAACTCAACAAAGATTCTAAGGCGAAACTCAACAAAGATTCCAAGGCGAAACAAATCTAACGCGTGTAATTTTCATAGGGATGGGGTTGAAGGGAGTTTTTATAGGGGATGGTACAGGGATGGGGTTGAAGGGAGTTTTTATAGGGGATGGTAAGGTGCACACATGTTGTTATACAAATCTCCTTGGAGAGAGAAAGAGTTAGAAAGATAAAAAGTTTAGAGAGAGATAAAAAAGAATTAGAGAGAGAAAGAAGAGACAAATATTAAAAAGAATTAGATAAAGAAGAGATAAACATAAAAAGAATAAAGAGATGAATATAAACAAGATGAAAGAGATAAATATAAACATGATAAAAAGGTTTACGGCATTATAGTGCCGTATAATATGGATTAGTTTTTACAGTATTTAAAATGCTGTATAATATGAGTTAGTTTTTACAATACTTAAAATGTCATATAACTGGGAAGAGTTAGTTTTTATTGTACTTAAAATATTGTATACTGTACTTACCGTAATTGTGCTTCATGGTTATTTTGGTAAAAAAAAAAACTCTCAAAATTGACGTTTTTATTGTACTTAAAATGCCGTATATTACGGTACTTAAAGTAATTGTGCTTCACGGTTATTTTGGTAAAAATAAACTCTCAAAATTGACAAAAAAATGGTGTGGACAAGGTTTATGAAAATTAAAGTTTTTTTTTCTAAATAGAAAAAAAATTAAGGTATATTTGTGATAATTTCTTCAATATAAAATAAATATTGATACTCAAAAAGAAATATTAAAGAGATATCTCCTAAAATTTAAAAAGATAATTATGTATCTATCTTAAAACATACCTTAAATACATCTCCAAAAAAAGAGGAGCATGGGATCTTTAGGGGAAGAGAGAGATAGAGAGTACACACCTAAACAAAGTTTAAGAGAGAGAAATTTAAAAGAGAGAGAGAGGAGAGTTAAAGTTTAAGAGAGAGAGAGAAATTTAAGAGAGAGAGAGGAGAGTTAAGGGTAGACATGTGTCAGAAGAATAAGAAGGGACCTTATATATAGAAAGATTGTGGGATACATGCTCTCATAATAGACCCCTAAAAATAATGGGTCCCTAAATTTTAATGTATAGATAAAAGAGAGAATAAAAAGAGACCCTATATATAGAAAGATTGTGGGGTACATACTCTCATAATAGACCCCTAAAAATAATGGGTCCCTAAATTTCAATGTATAGAGAAAAGAGAGGAGAGTGTGCCTCCTAAACCATAGGGGGTTACGTGGAGAGAGAGAGTTAATTTTATTAGACCCGTAAAAATAATGGGTCCCTAAATTTTAATGTATAGAGAAAAGAGAGAGGAGAGTGCGCCTCCTAAACATAAGGGGAGAGAGAGAAAGGGGGTTACTTGAGGAGAGCGAGCTAATTTTATTAGAATCTCGTAAAATCTTGAGAGATAATAGAGCGAAGATATCAACACTCAAAAAGAAATATTAAGGATATATCTCCTAAAATTTAAAAAGATAATTATATACCTATCTTAAAACATACCCTAAATCCATCTCCAAAAAAAGAGGAGCATATGATCTTTAGGGGAAAGAGAAATACATAGTACGCACTAAAACAAAATTTAAGAGAGAGAGTAGAACAAAGTTTAAGAGAGAGAGAGAGTAGAACAAAGTTTAAGAGAGAGAAATTTGAGAGAGGGAGTAGAGAGAGACGTCCTAAGCAAAGGTTTCTATACCCCCTCTACAGCATAGAAGATCTATGCTTCCCCTACTATCTTGCCATCCAATTTGATTAAGAGAGCCACTCACCGTTTGATCTTAGATACGACGTCTCAAAGTATTTTATTTTTAGTGTTGTTTATACAAATTGTATGAATATGAAATTTGGTACGTGCCATCTTATCATCGGGGTGCACTGTTAAAAATATTAAAAATAATTTTTTGATAAAATATAATGATCAAAATACCCCTGAAATCTTTCATGAGTATTTGGTTATTTTATTTTAATGGAAATATTGTTTTTATATTTTTCACTAGTGCAAGTTTAATAGAGGATTGGACATACAAAATTTGACGTCAAAATAGTTTGTAGAAAAAAATTAAAAATAAAATAGTATAGATATGTGGCATTGTGATTGAGGCAATATTAGCCCTCCATTCAGAATGGAGGGTTGGATAGGGGGAAGTATATAAGTTTTAAGTTGTACGGTTGGATAAGGGCAAGTATATAACTTTTATGTTCTAGGGAAAGTATATAAAGCTTGCCCCCTAACAAAACTGATTTTTTTAGGAGACCAATATTTTTATACTAAAAAAGAAATACTAAGGAGATATCTCCTAGAATTTTAAAAGATAATTATGTACCTATCCTAAAACATACCCTAAATCCATCTTAAAAAAAAGTGGTGCATGTGATCCTTAAGGGAAGAGAGAGAGATAGACAATACGCACCTAAACAAAGTTTAAGAGAGAAATTTAAGAGAGCGAGGACAGAGACGCACCTAACAAAACTAAGATTTTTTTAAGAGACCAAGATTTTTGTAGGGTGATAAAAAGAAAGTAGAAGATGTAATTATCCTTTTAAATAATGCATATTTTCTCTACCTTTCTCAAGATCTATAAAAACTCCAACAATTTTTTAGTTCCCATGTTCTCTCTTCCCAAAATTTCAGGTACATTCTCCCTTGGTTTACTTTCTCTCTCCCCTTTGTTT